AGTTGAATGATTTACTATACCTCATCCAGATTTCTTGCAAGAATAATCTGTCTTGCTTGGGAGTGGGGATAGACACACAAAGCCAGAAGTTAAGTGTTGTCAGAAGATAACAAGTGGCCCATCCATGTTCATCTCTAGGTCTACTACTAAAGTTTCGTTCCATTTCAGACTGCTACACATTATTCTCAGAGGAATGGGGTTCCCAAGACAAGAAAGGTCCCACTCCTTCCACTCAGCAGATGTGCATTCCAAAGTGAAGTACCCACCCAGTTTGCATTATCTATTCCACAATACAGTAAGGAAAACACATTTTTGGGGAAAGGCCAAGACAATCTGCTTCTGGTATAAAGAAATTAACGTATTAATTGCTTTGAGGAGCGGTAGTAGAATAACCTTGGGAAATGTACCAGAAATATCTCTGATCCAGTAAACATGGGAAGTAAACCAATAAGATAGTGTTCAGTATGAGAACCAGACTGTAGGACTGGCTCAAAACTTCAGGGGCACATTTATGATAAAAGCTAAGAATTAAAGGAAGAGCTCCATGCATAAAGTGGTAGGAAGTCACTGACCCAGCAACCAATTTATTTGAGGTATTACTGAAAGAGGAAGTGCTTTTCCAAAATCATTGCTGGGATACACCTTGCTCTCTTAAAGGCTGTTATTACCACTGTAGCCTGGGGCAGTCGTATCAAGGAATCAGCCTGCCAACAGCTTCCTGGGAGCTCAGCTGAGAACAAGCCTAACAGCACAGCAAATTGGGAGCTTGGAGACATCTGGTCTGAGAAGCTCTGGGCTTCTGCAACAAGTCAAAGTTGTGCTGTTCTTTGTGTTGATGGTCAGACTAAAGAATAAGTAAATTGGTACATCCTGTTTTAGCCATCCAGAGAGCAGTAGCCTAAACTTCATTTTCAGTTTCTGAGCCTAGGATCACTGCTAGTGCCTAGAGATGATAGAAACAGCCCATTCCTTAATGGCCACAGTTGTGTCCTGCAGGTATGTCCAAGAAGATTGGATGAGGTTGGTCAGATGAATTTTCAAGCAGATCCAGGAGCCTTCACCACTAAAAGAAGAAACAAAAATGATTGGAGGCTACAGAGACATAGTATAAGCCATTCAAAGAACTGAGATAACTGCTGATATTGACTTAACTGAAAGTAAGGTGAAATTTAGATGCTCCATTAATTCTATAACCTGTATATTAGATTGCTGCAAGCATATAAAAAAAACCTATAATTTTAAGGTAGAGATGGGGAGCTTCCCTCATAAATGTACACCTTGGTCCAGTCATCTTCTCAATAGCCAGATTTTGTTCCACAACCCCTCCTAAAAGAAGGCATGACTCAGCCAAAATAATCAAGAATTACCATTTCCTATTGGAATAGTTGCAATTAAATTCTGTTTCTACCATGTTCTTTCTTTAACTTCTGACATAATCTGTATTTTTTTAATAATTGGAACAATGCTTCCACCTCTGCCTGAAAGAAAACTGGGTTCAATATTCTTCCTGCCATAATCTGCCTGGAATGCAACAAACATGGCTTGTTCCTTCCTTAGATTATAGAGTAAACCTGGGCCTCGCATTTCAGTTAATGACTGTTTTTGGTAACTTTTTTTAGTATAAGCAGCTGACTCTTCAGTTATACTTTACAGTTTTGGTTCATACAGATCAGAGGAAAGGATAAAATAGCTCTAGTTTTTCTGAAGTCATTTTTTAAGATTTTTTAAAAATCACATCTTTATTATTTCATAAATAATTCAAGGTGGCAAAAAGATGGTTGAAAGTAATTCCCTTTTAACTGGCCCTAATGCTGATTAAACCTAAAATCAGAAAATCCTTCATTTCTAAGAGCCATTCTGTACTATAATTTAAAAAACATATTGTTACCTTAACTGGGGGTAGGTAATCTGCAGACTTTTAGATGAAATTGGATTCTATCTCCCAACTTCTTTTACCATGGGCAATGATGGTTAGGACTAATAAGAATTGAGAATTTAATATTTGGAGGACTATTACATTGACTTCTTCTGCTAAACAAAGTGAGATCATGTGCCCACAAGCCAGTATGAAATGTCTGTGTATCATCCTGATAAATTAGCAAGCCAGAAGCTCAATTTTACTAATCCATATGGCTGAACAGATTGGTGACACAGAGGCAGAAAACAATGCTAATACATTTATGTTCATTTTGCACCATTTATTCCTCTCATGACAAGGAAATAATGCAAAGAAAAACTGAAGACCACTTCTAATAATTGCATTTCCAGAGAATTAAAATCAGCTTCAGACCTGCCCCGCAAACTCCTAGCCTTAGAAGCTAGGATACTTTAAATAATTAAACATAGGAATACACAGGGTACCAGATTATTTTACTAAATTCACACTTGGTGTTCAAGTTCTGTAACAAGAAACTCATGAACCTGCGCACATTAAGTGCATTCAATGTTCATTAGTCATTGACATAGCTATAATCAGTCTGCTGTTTCTCCTCAACTGCCTTTTTTTCAGTGCTTCTTTTGGGATATATTGAGGGTCTGTCGTGCATCCCTAAGCAGATAGTCCTCTAACTGGGGATCCTCAGATAGTTCTCTTTTAGCCTATGCATACAGACTTTAATATTCTTGTATTCCTATTTAACTTTAGCAAACATATCACTAACGAATGAATGATGAATAAACTCTTTATTGGCCAAGTGTGATTAGACACACAAAGAATTAGTCTTGGTGCATATGCTCTCAGTGTACATAAAAAGAAAATATAACCATGCCAAAGGGAATTAAATTCAGTTCTGCCCAGGGCCCAAAGACACATAGACAATACATACTTGCAGAAAGCTAACCACATTTTCCAAGCTCCGTCCAATGACACAGCAATATAGTCCACAACAGGGAGAAAGCAGTTTCGCATGAGGAATAGCAGTAATTCTCTGAGGTACTCAACAGCATGCAGCACAGAATCTGGCAGCTGTGTCTGAAGCTACGGAGAAAATAAAGATGGGATGCTCAGTTGAACAGTTTACAGGATTGGCTACTAATCAACCAGCTCCTCACTGGCTTAACATGCTACTTAAATACCCATCACTAGATAAGTTTGAAAATGGCCATGTGCCAGATTCCTATTATTCAACAGGCTGCTCAAAGGCTATTGTTTAGATTTATATACAGCATAGAGGGACCAACAACAGATGGTTATTGTGTCCAATATTCCTCAGCAGTGTAACAAAAAGCAAATCAGCCACAAGCTAACGTCCACAAGAAGTGATATACTATAAATTCCATCAATTTCAGTCACTATTACCAGCAGCCAACATTCTGGGGCAGGGGTGTCAAATGCAAGGCCCTGGGACCGGATCCAGCCTGCAAGGTGCTTAGATCTGGCCTGCAGGGCTGCCCTGGAAACAGCGAGGGACCGGCCAGTGGTGCCTCTGCCAGCAAAAACGAGCTTGGGAGGGCCGCATGTGGCTTTCCTGAACTCCGTTTTCACTGTTGCAGGAGGCCATCGCAGCCAAAAATGGAGTTCGGGGGCCTGTTTTTGCTGGAAGAGCATGGGGGCCACTACAGGAGCCCCCAACAGGTGAGCCTTCGAGCTGGTCACACACACCCCAGCCCTCTGAGGTCAAACACAACCCTGATGCGTCTCTCAATAAAATCGAGTTTGATACCCCTGCTCTGGGGACATCAAACAGAGAAATATATAACATATCATGTAAATTATCCATCCAGAGGGAGTGGGGGTGGGGGGCAAGGACACCAACATTCCCTTCAAGACATTCCTTTGTAAAAGGAATAGAAGCATGAAAGGTTGTAACTCCTGTTAGGAATAGGCATTGCTGCTCTTGTTTTCTATGTGGCTTCTACTGTTTGGTCGCTACAACTTTTCCTTCTTAATTTCTGAAATCCTCAGTGCTTCTGGACATTAACAACTCTACATTTCTCCCCTGTTCTCAACTCCTAATTTCCAACTTCTACCTAATAAAGTTTGGCTGTCCAGCCAAAAGCAGCAGCATTCTTACCCACTCACTGAGCCTAAGGAGGTTGTTGCTGAGCCAGGCTAAATGAGCAGAGCACTTCCCAGAGATATAGATAGCAGTTTCATTTGTCTTGGTCCAGGCCAGCTCCAAATTAGGTCCAAGCACCGTTGCCACTTGGGAGTAGTAGACTGGTATATTTGCTTCTAACCAGCTGCAGGGAGAGAGAGGGGATGGAATGAGATTTTGCCTTGAAAAAGAAATTGCCCTCAAAGTCATCATCCAGCCAGATGGAATAATCTTTCCATTGTCTGTGGTTTTGAATACAATACAGATCTTTTCTGAATGCTCTTTTAAAGTGCTCCCTTTGCTAAAACAGCTAAAACATATTACCGACCTGTATCCTTTTATAGAGAAATGGGAAACTTTGTCCCAGACTTGCTCAGATGCAGACAGGATGCCAGAAGAACGAAGGACATGTGCAGAGGCAGAAGCTGCAAAACAAAACAGTGGACAAAAGGTTTCCATTACTGTAAAGCCCATGCGTTTTTCAGCCTTATTATAGGGAGAAAAGAAGCACTATCTCACATGCCTCCAGAAACAAATCCTAACCTTGGAATGAGCCATGAGTCTTGATATCGTATGTCAGAAATCCAGCAGTAACTATAAGGAGGACTACAATCAGCCATGGCCAACGAAACCCACTGGCTTTCATCTTGAGCAGCAGGTTCTAAAGAACAGAACCAAAGAAGCAGTGCTGTAAAGCAGAATGAAGCAAATAAGCATCCATATAAGTTTGCCAAGTTGTGCGCCATTTCATAAGCAAATAAATTACCTTGCATGCAGCTGTACAAGCTGCCACATCCTGAACATTGTTTGGTCCTTTCACAGCCAGCTCTTCATTTGTGACACTGAATGAATGAACTGTTTCCTGTAAAGATTTTCGCACCTAGGAAAAAGTCCAGTGAGGTACAGAAGCGATCAGCCTTTGCCTAGGGTTTATTTGCTTTTTGTAATATTTTTTAAAATATATTTTTTATATCTGTTGTTTTTATATCTGTTGCTGTCTTTTGACTTTTGTGCACCACTCTGAGTCACCTTTGATCAGGGTGGGATTCTACCGGTTCAGACCAGATCGGGCGAACCCCTTGTTCAGCTCGCTCCGAATTGGTTCGCTGCGATGAGGAAATGGGCCCGCCCGCCAGCCCCTGCCCTTTCCTGTGCTTTATGCCTTTGCTTAGAGCAGGGCTGGCTGAGGAATTCTGGGAGTTGAAGTCCACAAGTCTTAAAGTTGCCAAGGTTGGACACCCCTGGCTTACAGCACAGCTGATTTGTACGGCAGAGTGGTTTGCTGCGCCTCAGCTGTTTTCTTCACAGAGGCTGCAGTTGAAGGTAAGTATGGGCTTGCCTTTTTAAAATGCGGAGCACACATGGGGAGCAAAGCGCACAATCATTGAACCGGTTGTTATACCGGTGGAATCCCACCCCTGCTTTTGATGAGACGGGAGGCTATATAAATTGGATAGAAAACAAACAAACAAACAACCATGTATTTTCATTAAAAGGGCCATTACCAGCTCTTCTGCATAAAGCTTTCAAGATTCATCACCTCATTTGATCTTAGTGCTTCTGAGTCACATTCACAAGTAAGCACAAACAGAACTCCTTCAGTTCAGTCACAAACTACAGAGAATATATCTTCTCATTTTCTAATCTGTTTTAGCCATATGTAAAACACCACACTAAATTTTGGTATATCAACAAATGCTGTCATGCCTTATGATTCTCGACTCTTGATGAATGTATCTTTTCTTTTATGTATATTGAGAGTATTTACACTAAGACAAATTCCTTGTGTGTCCAATCATACTTGGCCAATAAAGCTATTCTATTCTATTCTATTCTATTCTATTCTATTCTATTCTATTCT